CTGAACCCAATTTAGACTTTAGATTCTTTAATAAATTCTGTCCAATATGATATATACAATGTATATGATAGGTATCAAGCATTAAATTTGCAATAGCAACATCAATAGCAAGATCATTGTCTGTTATAATAACTGAAGAGAAAGTGTTTGTTTATTTAATAAGAGAACTAAATACTCATTCAAAACTCTCTAATGTTTTATCACTCATTAATGTTTGGCCAACCAGCTGAGACTGATTATTATTATCAACAATAACAATAAGTCCAAGTGCCATTTTAAATCTATTAGTAAAGTAAGTATTATCATATTGAACTATATCACTATATTGTATATAAAGTTCATATTGTTCTGATGTTATCCAGAATAATAAGACTAAAGAGTTGGTTGTTGGATCCACATACCAATTTATAGTTCACCTAATATTCTCAGCTTTATGTTCAATAAGCTTATTAATTAATGTTGCAGCTTCATAATCAACTCTTTGTTCTATTTTAACCTTTTGAATAGTGTTTAACAAGTCTTGAGGTAAGAAAAAAATTTTTTCATATTTCACTTCAAGTAATTGACATTGTGTATGCTGTGTAATGCCAAATTTATTGGCAAGGGGATCTAAAAAATAGTCTCCATGCTCTAAACTCATGCTGGTAATCCTGATAATGCTAGTTGACTTTGGGCATATAGCATTTATAAACCATGGGCATCCGCTATGTTTAGAATGTGTGTTTTGCTGTGTTTCAACAATCATATTTTTTTTCTTGAGAATTACCCTGATATTTACATTTATAATAACAACACCTTCTTATTCCATTATTATATTCCACTTCATAAATAACTTTAGAAAAGTGGTTTGAGTTACAATAAACATCAATATATCTATCAAGTTCTGTTCATGATTCAAATCACATACTAGGCTTTGGAATTTGTAAAAGGGTTTCAGGTGCATTAATAATGTTATCAGTTTTGAGCAGGTAGATTAATCAAATTATTTGGGATTTGTTCAGGTATATTAGAGGGGGGGTCTGTATTGATAAGGAAGCAGTATTTATAGGTGATAATTCTAATTGTTTATTATAAAAATCCAGTACCAGTGAGTTCAAGCTAATTGTTCATTGTAAATAAGCAGAACTGATGAATTCAGAGTTAAATTATTATTGGTCATTATTGATGTTTGGATTGAACTATCATAATAATGGGCTAAGTAAATTATTATTAATGTCAACATTTTAAATACTAGTTTAATTAAATTACTTGAAATTCAAAACTAGTATTAAATTTCAAGTAATTGAATAGGCCTACAACTATGCTTTACTTAATATTTACCTTATGTCATATATATATTTATTTTGCATTATTAATACTTGATTGAAATGGTTAAAACTAATAATGTAAATAGGTAAATAACCAACATAATATAATCATGTAATGTTTATTGAATGAGATTTCTAATAACACACCTCTTTATATATATTTGTAGCTAGAACAAATAGGATGGCTAATGGGATGGCTAATAGGACTGCTAATGGGACTGCTAATGAAATTGCTAATAGGACTAGAGTAAGTAAACCAATATTATATAACTGCTTAACATTTAATTAAAGGAACCTTTCTAATAACCAACCTTGTTTAATATATTTGACCAAAACAAAATGCAATGTCTGCAAGCAAAAAAAAAATAATAAAAGCATTTACCATGCCAGTATAGTCAAGAAAAGAAACACCAGTGTAGTATAACACTACTTCTGTCCAACACAAATTTTTTTGTTAAAAAACAATTACTTCAAGGATCTTATTAAGGTAGGCATTCACTTTACATTAGTTTTCTTTTCTAAAAGCTAGTATTTTTGAACTATTTTTTCTTTATATGCATATGCATATATGTTACACATACTATACTTTCATATTGCTAGTATGACTATCATGTTTCATATAACTTACTTACATTTTGTATAACCAACCATTATTTAGTACTACAGCTACATATAGCTATAGGCTACAATTATATTATTTCATAAAATTTATATACAATTAAATATATCAATTAAATACATTGGGGGTATGGTGACCTAGTAAAGTAGATAGATTGTCAACTCTTAAGTGGCAGGTCTAAGGTTCAATTTCCATGGATAATGAATTTTGGAAATTATATCTGTGTTATGGTAACTGTTTCTTGCTGATCAGTTGGGTTTTGGGCATCTGTAATCTTAGATACACCAATCCAGGTTCCACTTGATTTTGAAAGCTTGGGGCATCTATGTGAAGTGTAATGTTACATGTACATAAAGAAATGTGAAAAACTGGTGTCATATAAGGCTTTGGTGCAAACCCATAATAAGACCATTAGGTGTAGAAGGCTAAGAAACCAAGAAAACAGAAACCCACTTGGAAATCTTGAGTAAAAAGATAGCACAAACTTTTGATGATGCCATTGGACTAATAGAAGCCTATGAAACATCATAACAAAATATGTAGAGTAGCACATGACCAACTAGGCTGCTGGAATCACCTGAAGAAAAGAATATATAAGTATACTATACTGAGCTATCTGAATAGGAAGTCTAAGAAGTTGGTTGGTTCTGAGTTATGACTAGTAGAGGATGATGAAAAAGAAGTCAGAAGATGGGTACCAGGGTTTGGGTGAATAATAGCAGTTTAATAGGTAATCCTGACTGCAAGTGTTGGTTTCACCATAGCATCAGACTAGGTTAGTGATAAAAGAAAATACAGCTCACTCTGGTAGGTTTGCTTCAAGAATCAAAATAGTCTAAGAATTATAGTCCTATGGTTAAAAGTGAATAAATCTGGGTCTGTTATCTGGTGAAATTAATACTAGAGTCAGATCAGAGGGTTTAAATGAAACATCTAAGCAGAGATGTTAGGTATAGCAACTGGTAGGGAACCCTTGGGTGGACTCCTTAAATAAGTAATATAGAAAAGTTATACATGTAGCCAGTTGTATACTCATCTGATAGTTTAATATAGATACATCTATAGAAAACATGTACCTGATATAAGTATTAATAAAAAGCTAGGACCAAAGAGGTCATCTTAATACTGAAAAAAAATCAATTAAATACATTTTAATAAATTTATAGTTACCAAAAATGAATCTATTTTTGAACAATATAGTATATTAGTTTTAGATAACACATCAATATACAAAGGTCAATATTTGTAAGATTTTTGCAAAGAAAAAGATATTTAATAGAATTTTTACCTGCATACTCATTAAATTTTTTTTTTATTTTTATTTTTAAAAAAACGCATCTAAGCATGCTTTTTATTTATAATATTATATTACATATTTACATTAAGGTCTAATGAATTTTAATATATCTCTAATCTCTTTTTTATTTGTCTTGACTTTTCCTGAAGCCATGCTTCGTAGAAGGTTGATTTCATGCTTTATTTTAAGCTTTGCTATATTAGATGCTATTTCAGTAGAGGTAGTGTTGTTTCTCCATCTAGCTTGAGTGTACCAACATCAAACTTCATATATTGTTATTATATGTACCCATATGGCTGCTTTTCATTTTCTAGTTGATCCTATATTAGATGCTTGAAAGATATTTTCTATGATAGAAGATATTGGTTCATTGGTGTGTTTAAAGAAGCTATAGGCTGTTTCCCATATTTTCTTGCTTAAAGAACATTTTAAAGCAAAATGTTCGATAGTTTGTGTAGTATGTTGGCAGTTCAGGCAACTGCCCAGTTCGTTTTGGTTTATATGTTGTAGTCAATATCCTAAAGGAAGAGCTTGGTGAGCTAGTCACCATGCTATATCCTTTTTTTTGTTTAAGATTATTTTTGTTTTCATCCATTTGAACTTTGTAAGATTTCTCTTATCTCTGTTTGGTTCTCTAAAAGCTTTCATGGTTCATGAAGAGCTTTTAGAGCTTTTTTTACACTGAATTGTTCTTCATCTATTTCTCCTATTTTGATGTTTGTTGTTAGCCATGGCTATGCAGTATTAGCTTCTAGTTTTGTATAAGGTTTGTGAGAAAGCCTTTAGTGCTGTAGTGTTTTTCTTGATGTTTAGTTCATTGTCGATTGTACTTCTTTCTGCAGTGGCCCAGAATGAATTGCTAGTTAGCAGTTTTATTCATACTGTAAGCAGTCGAGCATCTAGCATATCTTTTAGTATTGGAGCTGTAAGGCCTCCTTGATCGTAATCCAGTTGGAATGTTGAGTACTGAGGAAGCATTCTAGAGTTATTCTTGATCCAGCTTACCATTAGAGAGTTAATTTTGCTTAGTTGGCCTCTTGAGGAAGGGAGAAGGTAAGCCAGATACCAGATTTTGGATATAAGTAGAGTTTTAGCTGCTAGGATTTTCTCTTTAAAAGAGAAGTTTCTTTGCAATAGTTCTTGTATTTTATTTTTAATTTTTTTTGTGATGTTTTTCCATAAAGAATTGTTTGGGCTTCCTTTTAAGTTGATGCTATATTCTAATATTGTAACTGAGTCTTGATCTTCATTCATTATTTTGAACTCTGTTTGCCCTTGAAGTTCAACTCTTCTTGCATTTGTTGTAAGTGGAATTAGAATTGATTTGGACTAATTAATTCTTGCATTAGAGGCTTTTTTGTATATCTGCAATACTTCTTGTAGTTTTATCCAGTCAGAGGGTAACCCAATTCCTAGTGATAAGTCATCAGCATAGGCAGCTACCTTGAATGTAGTGTTGTTGACTGGAATGCCTCTGGTATTTTCGCTGATAGCTTGTATAAAAGGGTTAATAGCAAGAACATATAATAATGGAGAAAGAGGGTCTCCTTGTCTTACACCTCTTTCAACTTTAAATGATTCTGAAATATGTCCTGAGTCCATTATGTGGGCATTTTGATTCTTGAACAGGGAGTTAATCACTTTAATAAATTTGTTACCAAAGTTCATTTCTTTGAGCACTAAGTTTATGAATTGATGATTTACTCTATCAAATGCTTTTTGCTGATCTAGGAGTAGAACCCAGTGCTGTTTAGATTGATCTTTCTGGTTTCTTAATGTTGTTAAGATATCCAGTGCAGTGTCTGCAATTGATCTTTTAGCAATAAAGGCTTGCTGGGCTGGGCCAATGATGTTGTCGCAAATTGGGTTAACTTTGTTTGCTAAGAGTTTCATAAAGATCTTTGCATCTGAGTTTACTAATGATATTGGTCTCCAGTTGTTTATGTTTGTTAGATCATTAGATTTTTTTGGAATTAGTGTAATAAGACTTTTGTTCCAGGAATGTGAAGTGTGCCCAGTTTCTAGTACTTCATTGAAAAGTTTGGTAAGAACTGGAAGCAATGTTTCCTTTACATCTTTGTAAAATTCGTATGTTAGATCATCTGCTTTTGGAGCCTTATTGTTTGGAAGCTTTTCGATAATCTGACCAACTTTCTCTTCTGTTATTGGCCTTTCAAGTAGTGCATTTTGTTGTGTAGAGATTTTAATTAAGTTATTAGTGATTTGTGAAGCTGCTGATTTGTCAAATGTTTCTTCTTTGTAAATCTTCTGATAAGATTCTTTTATATAGTTCAGAATTTGTTCCTGTGGTGTATCGTTTTGACTGTTGGGAATTTTAATCTTGGTGCTGCAAGATGTTGAATGTTTTGTTTTGTATAGGGAGTAGAAGTATTTAGTGGATTTTTCACCTTCTTCTATCCATTTGGCATTAGATCTCATTCACCATTTGTTTGATAATGAACTTAATTCTTCTTGAAGTTCAATGTTGTGTCTTTCAATTACTAGTTTTAGTTCTTCTAGGTTTGTGTTTTTTGCAATTTTGTTGTTTAGAGTGCATATTCTCCTATGTATTTTTTGTATTTTTTTTTCTGGCAAGGAGTGTGGTTTGTAAGCTCTAATTATTGATTGAATTATGCACTTATGTAAGTTCCAGTTTTTAGGGTCTTGAATATTTTGTAGTTCTTGTATAATGTCTGTTTTTAGTTCTGGGATTTTCCAACTTTTTCTGTTGAATCTCCATATTGATTTGTGACCTTGGCTGCTTTTAAGGCTAAACTCACATTCTACTAGTAAGTGATCTGAGTTGCTGAATTGGGTATGAATTTTTTGACACAAGTAGCTATAGTTTGCTTCAATGAAGATGTAGTCTAGTCTGGTTGCCATTCTTTGGCCACCTTGTGTTGTTTGATAGAATGTGAGAAATTGCTCATCATTTGAGCCAATAGCTGTGTCTGTATAGTCAGCCATAAGGTTTTTGACTATTTGCCTTGAGTGGTCATTTTGTGGTGCAGCTTGGCTTATTCTGTTTTTCTCAGGGTCGAGGTTAGTATTAAGGTCTCCAGCTATGATGCAGATGCTTTCTTCATCTTTAATTGGTGTCCATTTTCTAAAGAAGGAGACTCTGTCTTCTAAATTTGAAGAGGCGTAGATGTTTGTAATTAGAAATGGTTGTTGTTTAATTTTGGTTTTTGCAGTAATTACTTAGCCCTCCAGGGTTTCTTTAATGTTTGTAAGTTTGATATCTCTTTTTTCTACTAATATAGCTGTTTTTAAGGTCCAGAATGAATCATAGCCCCATTGTTTTGCTAGAAAGTTTCTTGTGCCTGTGTCTTTAAGGTTTGTTTCTTGAATTAATATTAGATCTAAGTTATATGATTTTATAAGTGTAAGTGTTTTTTGTGCTTTGGACCTATGGTTTAGGCCTTTGACATTCAGTATAGCGATTTTGATCATTATATTATATGTTAAAGATAGGTGCTACACTAGGCTTGAGTGCCTTAAGGTCGATTTCTGACTGGCAATTGGCTTTGTGAGCCTATTGCCCTCTTGTAAGGATGTTCTTTTCTTGTTTGTTCCTTTTTGTTTTTCTTTTGCTTTCTATAAGTAACTGTTGTAAATGGAGTTTCTTTGAAACCTTTTTCAAGTGGGTAATGAGCTGTTGTGTTGTTAAGAGCTTCTGTTTCCCAGTTGGTGTTTGTAGTTTTATTTTCCTTTGTGGAATTGTTTAGCAGTTCAGTTTCTGATTCCATTGACATTTCTTCTTCTGTGTCTGAGGGGTGTTCAGAAATTGGCATTAATTCATCTTGTTCCTCATTTACTTGTGTATTTTCTTCTGGTTTCTTAGTGTATAGATTGTTTGTGCTAAAAGTTGGTTCTGATTTTGTTAGTTCTTGAGCAACCTTTTCTTTTGGTCCCTCTACATAAGGGTTGTTTGGGCTTATGATTATTTTATCCTGTACAGTTTTTTGAAGTTTGGTTCTTTTTCTTTGCTCCTTTGCTTCTTTTAGTCTTTGTCTGGCTTCTATTGATTCTTTTAGCTCTTTACAGTCCCTTTTAAAGTGGCCTTCTTTTTTGCATAAGAAGCAGACTTTTGGAGCTTCCTTTCATTCTGTTGTGACTTTATGGTTACCAATGTGTGTACTTTTGGGAATTCTGCTTGTTAGGTCTGGGTCATCTGTAGTTTCAAAGGTCACCAGCCACTGATCAGAGCATTCTGTAGTGCCTTCATAGAACAGAGGTTTAATTGATGCAACCTGGCCAACATCTTCTAGAATGTTGTTGCTAATATGCTTAACATTGCCCATTGGTGTGTTTCTGAGTTTGATTGTAAGAAAGGAGCAATTTAGGTTTACTGAAATATATCCAAGCAAAGTTTGCTTGAAAAGTAAAATGCCTTCTGTCACATAGTGTTGTACTCTCTCCTTGTCTTTAAAAATCATTTCTAGAGATGTTCTTTTGCCTCTTGATGTATATACTTTGGCTGCTACTAAGTCTTCTTC